CCGTCTGATCTCAGCTGCTCTTGGGCCTGCAGCATGGCTCTCTGTGTAGGATTTTTTCACATTATCCTAAAGAGATCCACACCTCTTTCATCTGTCGCAACCTCTGTTTTCTGGGTCTTTTTCTTGTTCATACCTTCATTTTGGCAGGCACATTCCCTGATAACTTCATAAGAGTGCATGGGAGGCAAACTTTCTGAGACCCTACACATCTAAAACACCTTTGTTGTGCCCTCACCTTCCAATGACTAGAAATCCAGATTTGATATAATTTTCTCTAGCTTCCAGAAGTACTGTTGAAAAGTCCAGTACTATTCCAAATCTAAATCTTTGGTATGTATCCCTCATATTCCTCTGTGAAAACTCAGAATCTCCTCCTTGTTCCTTAAACTCACAATGATGTAAAAATAATAATAATTATTATTATTTTGTGATACGTCTTTACTAAGGGACAGTTTTTACTCATGGGCTGAGTACTTAGTGGGTCCTTTCTTGAACCAAGGTTGCAAATGTGGCCAAGCCCCTGTTTTGTGGGCCAAACATGGCCTGCCACAGTTTTTATAAATTCTGTTGGCATACAGCCACACTTACACATTTACGTATTTTCTGTGGCATTACATAGCTAGGTTGAATGATGTGACAGTCTGTGGTCTACAGAGCTTAAAATATCAGTGTTTTGTTGTTTTCTTTATATATATATATATATATAAAGCATGTTTGCTAACCCCCAGTCTAAAAAATTAAGAACTTCAATTTTGGCCAGAAAAAAAATTTGTTTATTTTTAAAATTTTCTCCCTCATGTTTTATGTTCTCTCTTTCTGGAATTCTTAACACTTTGATGTTGAACTTCTTGGACAGGAACTCAGATTTTTTTTCTGTCCTCTTTTCAATCCCTTTGTTTTTGTTTGCTCTTTTGTCTGAGAAATTCTCTTTACCTCCCAACCTATCCATGAGTTTTTCGTTTGTGCTATTATAATTTCTTATTTGGGCATAATTTTTTTCTATTTTTTAAATGAACTTTTTATTGTAACATGCAGATAAAAAACAAAAAAAATAACATAGTTAATAAATTTCTATAAAGCAACCATCCTTAAAACTGCTACACAGGTCTAAAATAGATTTCCAGTAACTCAGAAGCCCCACTTGTGCCCCAATCTAATTATAATCCACTCTGACACATATGTCATGGATTTTGACGCACTGCAATGTTGTCTTTTTGCAGCTCAGATTATCCTATCTTTGGACGGTGAACCTCTTCATGCTGTCCATTGTGACCTTTGTACCCTTTGTTTCCTTGCCATCTAATTTAACACTCCTCTTGTTTATTCCCTGTCCTGAATCTGGAGTCCCCCATTTCTCTAAAAAACTCTGTATTCTTTAGTTGAAACTGGAATTTTAAGCTCCCATTCTGGTTGCTAATAATACTTCTGATTGGTTGTTGTTTCTAGGCTGTCATTCAAAGGAAGGAGCAGATGTATTTTCCTTCCCTTTTATTCATGCTTTTATTATACTTATGTTATCAGAACATATAGTCCTCACATACTGCCTTCTCTCCCTTTGAACCTTCGTTTGGTCTTCTTACTAAACTGTACATAACCGCTCAGCTAATACATTAGAGTTTGTATAATCATTTTGGTTATCAGAAACTCATTCTTCAGAGCTATCTCAGGATGGGATCATAGGAACAATATTCCTGAGTTCTCACAGGTTAATAATTGTTTGTCTGTGCTCGGTGACCTTGAAAGTCAGTTTTGCTAGTTGTATAATCTTTGGCTTGTATTTTCTTTCTTTGAATGTCTTAAATATTTTACTGTTATCTTTGAGTAAAGCAGTATTGCTGTTGAAACTCTGGTATATTTTTTTCTTTGTAAGTCACTTGTTTTTTGCCTAGCTGCCCCAAAGTTTGTTTTATTTATAGTGTAAATATTTTCCCAGAATATATCTTGTGTTAGTTCTTCTGGGTCAGTATTTTCAGGTATGTGTGGGGTTCTTTCAATGTGTAGTTTGAAGCCTCTTTTTATTTTAGCAATTAGAATTTTTAGTATTTATAGGCCTGTTCCCTGGCTTGGATTTGGATTTCTGTTAGGGACTCCTCTGTTCTGTATGTTGCATCTTCCTTGCCTGATTTTTACTTTATGTGGTTCTTTTGTGTCCTATATAATTTTTTTTATATTTTAACTTATTTTGAAATTTTGAAATGTTTTGTTGAGGTGATTTCATTGTCTCTCTGCTATTATTTTTTATGCCCAAGCTTTTTTATTCTCACTACTCCTCTTTTTTAAAAAGTCATTTCTCATTTCTTAGCTATACTATCTTGTTTCTTTCTCTAAGGATAGTATTTTTTAAAGTTTTATTCTACCAGCATAATTTATTTCCTGTTCTCCTTCTTTCATTTATTGCAGGCTTTATCATTTTATTTTTTTTTAATTTTTTTTAATGTTTTATTTATTTCTGAGAGAGAGAGAGAGAGAGAGACAGCATAAGCAGAGGAGGGTCAGAGAGAGGAGATACAGAATCGGAAACAGGCTCCAGGTTCTGAGCTAGTTGTCAGCACAGCCCGACGCAGGGCTCAAACCCACGAACCATGAGATCATGACCTGAGCCGACGTCAGACACTTAACTGACTAAGCCACCCAGGCGCTTGGCCTTTATCATTTTAGAGACTTTCCTCAAATGTATCCTTGGTTCTTGGCTCGTGTCAAAGAGTTGGACAGTAAAAAACTGATTAGAAAATCTGTGTACTGTGAGTTAAGTCTTACTGAATTATAGACTGTATTCCACTGTAACTTGGTGGGCCTTTTTTATCATGAAACTCCCAGTGGCAGTGTCTTTTAGTTGATTGTTTTCTTTGGTGCTGGTCAAATTTTTCAGAGAAGTTTCTTCTCTGACCCCCCTGGAGGATATAAGTCTGACTAATAGTGTTCTGGAAGCCATATGAGGAGAAAAACATTGTTACTCTTGGTATATAAACTTTTGCTTCATAAAGCTGCTTCTAGGTGCTTGGGTGGCTCAGTTGGTTGAGTGTCTGACTTCAGCTCAGGCCATGATCTCACAGTTTATGAGTTTGAGCCCTGTATCAGCCTCTGTGCTGACATCGTGGAGCCTGCTTTGGATTCTGTGTGTGTGTGTGTGTGTGTGTGTGTGTGTGTGTGTGTGTGTGTCTCTGCCCCTGCCCTGCTCGCACTCTCTGTCTCTCAAAAATAAACATTTAAAAATATAAAAAACAAAAATACAAAGCTGCTTCTAGTTGTTGATGGTTTTCCCTAGACCAGACCCTCATTTTTACTCTCTCCAGAGAATAACAAAATGCCTGGGAGAAGAAGAGCCAGTGCTGAGCTATATGGAATAGATTAGAAGAACTGAAAAGTTCTATTTCTTATCATTTTAAACAAATCCCATTGTTTTTAGGCTCACCTTCAGCCTCACTTCCAGGTGTACCTATTGTTTCAGATTGATGAGCTTTTTATGGGTTCTGCAGTATAAATTTTTTTTTAAAAAAATTTTTTATTGTTTATTTTTGAAACAGAGAGAGACAGAGCATGAGCAGGGGAGGGGCAGAGAGAGAGAGAGGGAGACACAGAATCTGAAACAGGCTCCAGGCTCTGAGTTGCCAGCACAGAACCCAATGTGGGGGGCTCGAACCCACAAACCACGAGATCATGACCTGAGCTGAAGTCAGACGCTTAACCGACTGAGCCACCCAGATGCTCCCCACAGTATAAATTATTTGAATTAAACTTTCCTGTGTCTGCTAAGTCAGTTATTTGTCTTTCTGCTTTCCACTTTCTAAAATGCTGTTGTTATGTCTCTTCTCTCATTCTTTTTGTCTTAAAGGTGTGTGTGTGTGTGTATGTGTGTGTGTGTAGCCCTGTACTATGTTCAGTGGTATTTCAGGACAGAACAGAACTAATGCACACTTTCAGTTCACCAAAAGATCCCTTGACCTATTTGTACAGAAAACCTCAGGGAAGTCCCTCTCAGGTCTATTACTGAGTCTATTGAGCAAACAATACAGTGTTTTTCTAATGACATATTTTTGTTTGCTTGTTTTAGGGGATACTCCTGATGCTAATCTGAAAGGTCACAAATTGTGTTTTATTTTCTTCCCTTATGCCAAGCTTCAGCTGTGTTTAGCTCAGTCCCTTTCTGTAGCTTTGCAGGCCCATGAGTAAAGTGTATTTCATTTATCATTCATGAACAGGGAGGAGCAGTTGAAATGTCCTATTGAAATGTTCTGTGTTAAGATATGATAAGCCCTAGAATGACCACTAAGGAAATAAAAAAAAAAAAAAAAACAGTGAAACATCATAAAGGAAATTAAAAGGCTGCATCAGTAGTAAAGTAGTAAAGCAGGAACAGGAAAAAAAAAAAAGACCTGAGGCACACAGGAAACAAAAGTTAAATTGGAGAACATAATCCAACTATATCAATAATAAATGTGAATGGATTAAGCCATCCAAATGGCAGAGATGATCAGACTAGATTTAAAAAAATATGCAGCTTTATGCTGGACAAACAGAATAGAGAACAGAAAAATAGAGAAAAGTTGGGGTTTTTTTTTAAATATTAACAAAACTGACAAAACTTAGGTAGACCAAGAAAAAAGAGGAAGACTCAAATTACTAGAATCAGAAATGAAAGGGAGTAGTACTACCGACCTTACAGAAATAAAAATGATTATAAAAGCATCCCATCAGCATGCCTGCATGGCTCAGTTGGTTAAGCCTCAGACTCTTGGTTTCCAGTCAGATCATGATCTCACAGTTCTTGAGTTCAAGCACCACATTGGGCTCTGTGCTGATGGTTCAGAGCCTGCTTGGGATTCTCTCTCTTAGCCCCTCCCCAACTCACTCTCTCTGTCTCTCTCTCAAAAAATAAACTTTATAACAAAAGAATCCTATAGGCAGTTACATGCCTGTAATTTAGAATAACTCAGATAAAGTGGACAAATTACTTGAAAGGAATCCGCAATAACATAGTTGGTGTTGTGATGCATTAACAGGCTGCTGCCTTCTCCGCTCAAGGACACAGTGGAAGTATCAACCTGGAGAAGATGCTATACAATGCAAGAGGTGAACTCTGCCCTTAGCAAAATCCAGCTGGTGGGATATTCTCAGAAAATTGTGAGTGTTAATATGATTTTAAGTGATGCATGAATGCTTTTGATTCATCCTTCTGCTGTTTGGGAGGATCTTCTCATTCCCTTTCTTCAGCCATTCAGTCACTGAGAGTCCTGTACTAGTACAAGGTGAAAAGACAGAGCAATTGTCATTATCCTCCATCCTCCAGGCTGATATTGGTATTCTTTCCTAACCCTCGCATTCTCCATCATTAGCCAGCATTCTACTGACCAGCATGTAATGAATCAGGAGAAAGACATCTCATCCTATACATTTGAAAACAGTGGGTACAACTTTATAGATTCTGGAGAAGTGAAGTAGGAATCCAAGAGCATAAAATGGATCAAGAAGCAATTTGTTGGCAGGTATAACTTTTGAGCCCTGACCTGATAGTAAGGGTTCCCATTTTTGTTAACTTGTGCCAAGAGCCACTCAGGGTAGAACAACCAAGAGATTAATGCCTAACCTAAAAAAAGAAAAAAACCCAAGTATTTGTCTCTTTGGTCTTGCTGGTAATCTGTTGCCTCCATCTTTTCATGAGTGAGGCTGAGTGTCTGGTACATGTGGATATGCTGAAACAGAGCGGGCAAAGGATTGCTTTCTGGGTCTATCATCTGGTTTCCATTGAGTTTTTTGCTTTATACTTTCTGTTTTACTTTAAAATTTCTCTATCTAAGTAGAGAAGGGTATTTCTCGGTCCGCCCACCAACCCCCAGCCAAAGACTTATCTGATATGACTGCACTGCTGTGAAAACTCATCACGCATTCTTACTGTGGTTCTTTTCTAGGAGCTTTTCGGTGCAGTTCAGGTGACTCCGCTAAGCTCAGGCTATGCCCTTGGAAGCTCCAACTGGATTATCCAGTCCCATTATGAGAAAGTGTCTTATGTCTCTGGATCCTCCTTACTTACCACACATCCCCAGGTAATTCTGATTCTCTTTTAACAATTCAGTGTTTTGGTTATTGAACCCAAATTCATAATGTATCCAGCGCATCATCAGTTGTTTTTAAATCTTCTTAATTTTGGTTTCTACATGTATCCTATTTTTAAAAAATATTTCTGTTGTTATATTGGTAAGAATGCTTAACATGAGAGACACCTGGATGGCTCGGTCGGTTAAGCATCCAACTTTGGCTCAGGTCATGATCTCACGGTTCGTGAGTTCGAGCCCCACATCAGGCTTGTGCTGACAGCCAGCTCAGAGCCTGGAGCCTGCTTCGGATTCTGTGTCTCCCTCTCTCTCTATCCCTCCCCCACTAGCACTCTATGTCTCTTTTTTTCTCTCTCTCTCTAAAGTAAATACACATTAAAAATTTTTTTTAAGAATTTATAACATGAGATTTACCCTCTAAATAATTTTTGTACTATACATTATTGTTGACTTTCGGTACAGTGTTGTACAGCAGATCTCTAGAGCTTACCTTGCTTAACTGAAACCTTATGTTCTGTAGATGCTCTTCCTGAAAGTTAGATTTCCCATGTCCCAGTGTTTAGGGTTGCAGGTTCCTCTGTAAGATCCTGCTGCCTTTGGATTCATCTCTAGGATTCTGAGATTTCCCACCACTTTCAGTAACCATAGCCTGATGTAGAACAGAAATGGTCACCCATTTTACTCAACAGATGTTAATTATTTCTCTACTTAGAGTCTACTACATATGTGTCAAGCACTCATCTAGGTGTTAGAGAGTCCATGATGACCCACAGGCAAAGTCCCAGCTCATGAGTCTGTTCAGAAAAGCAGGGAGAGCCATTGTGATTGCAGCATGCTGAGTCTGGTCAGAAGGGATGTCCATGCAATAAGCAGAGCCAGTATAGAGGGAAGCTAGTTGAAGATTCTAGGCTGTTCATTCATTAAGTCATATTTGGCAAGAAGCTAAGTACATAACCATTGTTATAAATGTATTGTTTGTTCCTCTTCAGGTATTTGTATTGAAGTTTTTGTTCATTACGTAAATCCTGATTCTTTCCATGTTTGTAAAGGAGGGGCAGAGAAGATCAGATAATTAGCTGATGGATGGATATATAGATAGATAACTGTTGTAGGTCTAAACAATAGGATGCTTCTGATCTGCCACTATGTATTGGGTTTTTTTTTTTTTAATACCTTCTTTTATAATCAAATTTCATCTCAAGGTCTAAAGGGGATAAGTTGCCTTTTTTCCCTATAGCTAGCAGAATTCTGGGCCTTTCCCGCTTATTGAAATCAAAAGCCCATCAAGGCCATCTTAATCTGCTTCATTGAATCAAAATACTTTATTGGCAGCTTCTATCATTTTTGATATATTCTTCCATAAAAGACAGAAAGATTATTTGGCTGCCAACCTTCCGATTTGTCCTACTTAGATCAAAACCTTTACTACTGATGTAATTTCCAGTAAATTATTCTACCAAGGTTCGTAAATTTAAAGGGAAAATAAGGTCTTGAAAGTAATGGGCAACATACCTAAGTAATTTTAATTTCTAGCTAGGACCAGTGTAGTACATAAAAAGGATAATGAATTCGATTTCCTTTTATCCAGATAATCATATTCTTTCTTTCTTTCTTTCTTTCTTTCTTTCTTTCTTTCTTTCTTTCTTTCTTTCTTTCTTTCTTTCTTTCCTTCCTTCCTTCCTTCCTTCCTTCCTTCCTTCCTTCCTTCCTTCCTTCGAGAGCATAAGCAGAGAAGAGGGGCAGAGAGAGAGAGAGAGAGACAACCCTGGGATCATGATCTGAGCCAAAACCAAGAGTCAGATACTCAACTGACTGAGCTACCCAGGCACCCCAATGATTATTCGATTCTGTATTGAATTAGCAAGGATAAGAAAAGTTTAGGTTTGAAAAAACTTAAAAGTCAGCTTTCAAGGTCAGCAAACCATGGCCCATGGACCAAATTTGACCTGCTACCTGTTTTGTCTTTTAATTTTTTTCTTTATTTATTTTTGATAGACAGAGTGTGAGCAGGGGAGGGGCAGAGAGAGAAGGAGACACAGAATCTGAAGCAGGCTCTAGGCTCTGACCAAGCATTCAGCACAGAGCCCGACATGGGGCTCAAACCCACGAACCGTGAGATCATGGACCTGAGCTGAAGTCGGACACTTAACCGACTGAGCCACCCAGGCACCCCATCTACCTGTTTTTGTAAAAAATGCCTTGTTGCATTACAACCACATCCATTGGGTTATGGATGGTTTATGGCTGCTTGCACATTCTAGCAGCAAAGTTCTGCTTTAAAGTTAGACTTTACAGGAAAGGCCAGCCGTTGGTCTACTTGAGTGGAACCTCCCTAGGTAGGAAGAATAGGCTGCTATAGTGATCTAATAGGCATAGCGAAGTGAGGCTTTGGATTAAGCCTGAAGTGGTAAGAATGGAGTGACAAAGAAAATGTTGGCAGGTCTTTAATTCAACAAATACGTATCGAATGCTTGCTGTCTTCAAGGAAGGAAAAATATAGGCCAGAGATTTCATACCAAGATGACACTGAGAATGGTAATGATGACACTTACCTAGTTGACAAGGAGAAGCTGGCAGAGGGGGTTCTGGTTTTAGAAAGGAGTAGTGGGTATGATGCATAGCAATTTGAGTGAACGCTGGGGACAGATCAGATTTTTAAAGTATGTAACTGAGCTAAAGGAGAAAGACTGAGCTGTGAGGGACATTTACCAATAGAACGTGCAAGGAAGAAAAATAATCTTGAATAAGAATGGAGAGTTAGAGGAGAATTGCGGCACACAAAAGTACAGCATCCCAAAGGGCAGAAGAGAACCAGCTTTTACTGAGCGGAATGTCTCAGTAGTAATTTTCCTATTCATCTGATACTCAACAACATACTGAATTCTTACATTCTAGTATTTATCTACTTATGATAATATTATCTGCAAAGAAGTAACAATTTTTTCACTTTTCTTCCAGTCTTTTATTTCATTTTCCTGTCTAACAATTACATACCCTAGTCCCATGTAAACAGAAGTGATGACAGTGGCAGCCTTGTCTTATATCAGATTTTTTTTTTTAATGTTTTATTTATTTCTAGGAGAGAGAGAGAGAGCGTGAGCAAGGGAGGGTCAGAGAGAGGGAGTCACAGACTGAAACAGGCTACAGTCTCTGAGCTGGCAGTCAGCACAGAGCCCGACGCGGGGCTCGAACCCACGAACCGCGAGATCATGACCCAAGCGAAAGTTGGACGCTTAACCAACTGAGCCACCCGGCGCCCCTCTTATATCAGATTTTAAACGGAATGCTTTTGTAGCTTCTTCATTAAATAGGATGACTTACTACTGGTTTTTATCTATCAAGTTAGGGCGTTTCTCTTCTATTCCTAATTTTCTGATTTTTAAAATTCAGATATAGTTATTATACCTTATCAAGTACTTCTTCTGAGTCTGTGAGATGATCATGTGATTTCTTTCCTTTATAACAGTAATACAGTGAATTGTCATATTACCTTTCCTCACATTTTTGGGTGTTTTTTGTTTTTTTTTTTTAAGTTTACTTATTTTGAGAGAGAAAACATGAGTGGGGCAGAGAGAGAGAATGCCAGGCAGGCTCTGTACTGTCAGCATAGAGCCCAACAAGGGGCTTGCACCCACAAACTGAGATCATGACCTGAGCTGAAATCAAGAGTCAGACACTTAATTGACTGAGCCACCCAGGCACCCAGCTTTTCTCACATTTAACCATCCTTTAGTCTTTTGATAAATCTTATTTGATCACAACTTTTTCTTTTTTAAATATACTCCTGGAATATAAGTTGGTCAGTATTTTATTGAAAAGTGTGCAGGTATATCTCATCATTGTGCTTTGCTTTATTGCATTTCTTACATACTGCCTTCTTCACAGATTGAAGGCTTTTGGCAACCCTGCATTGAACAAGGCATCAGCACTTTTTCCAACAGCATTTGCTCACTTTGTGTCTCTGGGTCACATTTTGGTAATTCCCACAACATTTCAAATTTTTTTATTATTATTACGTTTGTTATGGTGATCTGTGATCAGTGATTTCAACTTGCCAAAAGCTCAGATGGTGGTTAGCATTTTTTAGCAGCTGTTTTTTAATGAAGTGTGTAGGGTTTTTTCTTTAGACATAATTCTATTGCATACTTAGTAGACTATAGTGTAGTATAAATGTAACTTTTATATGCACTGGAAAACCAAAAATTCGTTTGACTCTATTTATTGCGACACTCAGTTTATTGCAGTGTTCTGAGCCTCAACCTGTGATATCTCCAAGTTATGCCTGTAACCTGTATTCATAAGTGAAAAATGGACCCATGCATTATTTTCTCGTCCTGTCTTCATTTGTTTGACATCAAGACACATTTAGTCCCATGAGATGATTTGGGTACCTTCCACTCTTTTTCTTTTTCTTTTTCAAAAAAATTTTTTAATGCTTATTTATTTTTGAGAGAGAGAGAGAGAGGGCATGAGCAGGGGAGGGGCAGAGATGGGGAGACACAGAATCCGAAGCAGGTTCCAGGCTCTGAGCTGTCAGCACATAGCCCAACGCGGGGCTGGAACTCATGAAATGTGAGATCAAGACCTGAGCCAAAGTCAGGTGCTCAACTGACTGAGCCACCCAGGAGCCCCAATTTCACTCTTTTTCTAATACACAAGATAGGTATTCTCTTCTTTTGAAAGTCAGTTCCCCATAAAACTATCCAGGCCTGGGCTTATCATTTTAACTTTTTCATGGCTGTTGAACTATATTCTCGGGGTCAAAGTTACACCAGCATGTCAGAGATTTGTCCATTTTGCCTAGGTTTTCAAGATCCTATGCATGGGAGTTGTTTATTACCTGTTTAAACTTTATTGTGTAATTCTATTTTCAGTCTAAATTTTATTTTTTACACTTCTTTTTCTTGATCAGATTTGCCAGAGGTTTGTCTTCATTCGTGATTTTCTTCAAAGTATAAATTTTTGCTTTTAATTGTTTTTGTTGTATTTTC